TCCTATGGCATCTGGAGCCAGCAGCCAGCTTCTGCCCTCAAGCAGCCACATGGACCGAGATGCAGATGCCTGCTCCTCCAGAGAGGCCTAAGCTGGCACACATGCACATGGGCGTGCACACATTCAGGTGTGCAGACCCCAGGAAGGGCCAGGCTGGCTGCTGGGAGGATGTGCTGAGAGGTAGGGACCAACCAAACCCCACTGCAGGGTCTACCTCACCTCCCAGAGGCATAGTAAACTGAGTCACTTCCGGGAACTACTGTGGACGCATTGAACACTCCAGAAACTCACTCTCTTTGTCTACAGCTCAGCAGGCACCCACCAGCCTCAACTTGCTCCGCACCCCACAACAGTGCTGCGTGGGCATGGGAGGCCCCAGCAGAAGAGGCTGGTGGCCGATGGCTTCTTGTGTCTCTCAAGGGTCAGTAACCAGGCTGTGCCCCTGGGTGACTATACAGGAATGCTACACTAAATCCACACACTGCAGCTGCAGAGCCCAGGCCTATATCCCAGGTAGAAACCCATCCCCCGGCCCAAGCAGGCCCACAGAGCTGGTTTTTTTGTTGGTTTTTTTTTTTTTTTTTTGCGGAACCAGGGATTGAACTCAGCCTCTTGCGCTTGCCAAGGAAGTGCTTATTCTACTGAGCCATCTCCCCGGCCCCTGTGCTGTGTTCTGTGGTCACCAGACGGGTCATGAACACTACAATTAGCCATCAGTACTTCAGAATAGCCAAACCCACAGAAAAGCCTGGCACTCCACATTCCCAGGAGGTCCCAGGACTTGGCACAGTTCACCAAGGCTGGCAGGGGACATAGGGGTGGCCAAGCTGTGTGAGCACCTCAGCAAGTGTCCAGTGGATCCCACCCAGCTCCTGGCCACAAGGACCAGGGAGCCCTACTCAGCTAGCTACAGCCTCTGCCCTTTCCCCGCCCAGTCAGTGTGGCCACCCATGGTGACACGGCAGCCTGGAGAGGCCTGAGCAGCATCAAATCCCTGACCAGTGGCCCACAAGGACATGTGCATGTGTAGACACTTCAGCCCCTGCTCTCAAGGGAGGGTCCTTGAGAGGAGCAGGCTGTGGTCTTTCTGAATGGGCCACTGTCAGCCCTTGGCATCTAAGAGTAGCTGCAGGGGCACCTAAAGCAGGGACAACCACCAGGGACACAATGAGCTTAAAATTACAGCAAGATGGCACATGCCTGTAATCCCAGCACTTGGGAGGCTGACGCAGGAGGATCACTGTGAACACAAGACCAGCCTGAGCTACACAGTGAGCTCAAGGACAGCCTGAGATGCATAGTGAGACCATCTCAAAAAGACAAAGAAAAAAAAAGTATGGCAAAAGGTGCACTTCCTCAGAACCACTCCCAAATGTATAGCCCAGGATGGGCACATCCAAGGCCAGGGGCTAGAACCAGAAACATAGGTGCCCTGGGCCATGTCCCCATCCCAGTCTCCCAGGAGCCCTTCCCCGGACAGCCTGCAGGGTACAGCAGGTGAGCTCCCTGCTTCTCTGCTCAGGAGTCGATGACTGGAGCCAAGTCCAACTATGTAAAAACCACCCATCAGAATCAATCACAGATACATGCTTGTCTGGTTCAAATTACAAACACTAATGCTGTTATAAAAAATGACATGGCATGTTTTATTTTCAACAGAAAAATAAGCCCCCAAGTTTTGAAAGGCGGCCCGAGGTAATCACCAGGAAGGGGCCTACTGGGGGAGGAGGGGCTAAGAGCTGCCAGGCTGAGTGAAAGGCATCAGATGGCCCAGAGCTGGGTAGGAAAGGCTCGCCGATAGCCTGCCAGGACCTACAAGAGAGGTGTCCTCGCTCCCTCCCCCCAAGTGGGGCTGAAAACAGTGGTCGGCATACAGATGATTCCATACCTACAGCATCAGGTGGGCACTAGGTCTCCAGCCCACTCACAGCCCAAGGGCCTGCAGGGGCCAACACAGTGACCTGGAAACACAGCTCCTTGTTTCTCCTCCCAATCTCAGTTCCCTCACCTTTTTTGCCAGAGCTGCTAAAGACCTGAGTATTGGGCTTCCCTGAGACTAAGGCCTGGGGTGGCAGTTGGGGACCCAGGGACAGCCTTGTAGTGCAAAGTCTGTCTGAGTGCTGTTAAGTCAGGCAGAATACTGCCCAGGGTGGGCACAGAGAGGGGCGGGAGGGGGCTTTTAGGCTTGCCCTGGACCTCTGCATCCTGAGTGCTCTCTGGTCAGTAGACCCTGAGAGCTGACCTGTCAGGGGCCTCTGGGGGTGAAGGCACAGCTCTGAGTGGTAAGGTGGCAGGACCATGGCCACCACCCTTGCATTCGTCCTGTAGCCTTAGGTCCCTCAAACAGATACCACCATCACTCAACTGCAGAGGAGGAAGGGACCACAAACCCAAGCCTGACCAGCCAGATCTACGTGTCGAGCAGCTTACACCAGGAGCAGCTCCCTGCTAGGACAGGGAAAGCACACCAGCCAGACTGGCAGAGGGTCAGTGAGGCCTGGGCCAGCCCCCTCCCCTATGCCCAGGAACATACCATGCACTGGCACACATGCATACTTTCCTGCACAACATACACACATGTACACCCATGCACAACTGCACACGTGCACGGAGACTCAGAGATGCAGAGACAGTGTTGGCAATTTAGAGGCACAGAGAGAAATTGTGGTTCCGGCAGGCTCCAGCCCCAAAGGGCTATGTGCCATCTCCCGGGGGGGCATGTACATCATGGAGTGGCACACACTGGGGGTCACCGTGACACCAGTGGGCGGAGGGCATGTGGAATGGTGGGAAGACACCAGGTTCATCTCCTTCCTCCTGGCACGACAGGCCTTGGCCTGGTCGTAGCCCAGCAGGGACTCCGGCCCCTGGCTGAGCCTCAGTTTTCAACAGCCATCAGCCAGGCTGTCTGGAGAAAGCCTCAGGCCAGTCCAGCAGTCCCCAGGGCCCTGCTCACGTACCCCATGGGCAGCTGACAAACATCCAGAGGGTACCTGTGGGCATCAGGCTCCAGGGCTCACGGATGGGGCCTGGCGGGCCACACCTGGGGCAGAGGATCGGGTCCACCGTGACCTCAGGGGCTGGCAGGGACGGCCCAGGGCCAGGAGTGAGACCTGGGGCTGACGGGCTGGCGCCAGATCCAGCAAGGACCGCCTTGGCTGGCTCAGGGAACCCAGGAGAGGCCGGCAGGGCGGGCCCGGCTGCCCCAGAAGTGATGGACGTTCAGGGATGGGAAGTAATGGCTGGGGCTTGCGAGGCTGGCTTGAACCCAGAAGGGATCGCAGGGGCTGGCAGGGCTTCTCTGGGCCCATTAGGGGCCGCTTGGGCAAGCAGAGCTGTTCTGGGCCCATGAGCGGTCGCTTCCGTTGCTGTGACTGTCCAGGGCCCAGCAGGGGTGGCTTGGGGGGGCCAGTTTGTTTAGGGACTTTAACTAATTGCTGGGGCTGCTTGAGGCCCATCAGAGACCGCCGGGGCCGGCTGGGCTGGCCCAGGAGAGACCTGCGGGGTTGGCTGTGCTGACAGGGGGCTAGGAATGCCCGCCAGGGGCAGCAGCACTGACACGAAAGGGAGGTGGTGGGCCGGAGGCGTGGTCGCAAGGTGAGGAGTGACCGTGGGGGCTGGCACCGCGGGCAGTAGGCTAGTAGGGACCGCAGTGCCCGGCAGCACTGTCCAGAGGAAGCCCTACAAGGCTGGCCAGGGAGACAGGGAGTAGTCCATGAACACAGAGGCCGGCAGCAGTGCCACAGGGACCGCAGGGGCCGGCAGAGGTGACATGGGGCCAGAAGGGACCACAGTGGCCGGCAGCAGTGCCATGGGGCCAAGAGGGACCGCAGTGGTCGACAGCGGTGCCGTGGGGCCAGGAGGGACCTCAGGCGCTGGCAGCGCTGCCGGGACGCAGGGAATGCCCCAAGCGGCCTGCGGGGCTGGGCCAGGCGAGGCCGCTGGGCATGGCAGAGCTGATCTGGGACCGGAAGCCGCTGCTGGGGCTGGCGGTGCTGACTGGGGCCCAGAAGTGACCTCCGGGGCCGGCAGGTCTGTCTCAGGCCCAGAAGTGACCGCTGGGGCTGGCTGCGCTGAGCTGGGGGTGGCCGTTGGGGCTGGCAGGACTGCCCAGGCTCCGGGGATGCCGGACGGGGCTGGCAGCGCTGACACGGGGCTGGGAGGGACCCCTGGGGCTGGCTGGGCTGGCTGGGCTGGTGCTGCTGCTGGTGCTGGGCCGGGCCGTTCTGGTGCCAGGGGTTGGCTGGGAGCGGCCCCCCTTCTGGGGAGCACACCTGCATGGAAGAAAGAGCACGTGTCCACCTGGGCAGGTGCCTGTGGACCCCCCTCCAGCCCGGGCCCCAGAGGCATGCTGCTCCCACCAAAGCCCAATTCCCAAGGAGCTCAAGGCGGAGCCTGGAACACAGAAAAAGCCTCTCTGCAGAAAGGGGCAGACTCAGGTCCCCAAGAGAAACACAACTGCAGCTGAGCTGGGAACCCAAACAGACCCACGCCTGGGCTGCTCCGGCCCAGCTTCCACTTGTCTAACAGCCCTCCTGGCCTCAGTCTTGGCCATGACCCACCCAGGCACAAGGTCATGGGGCAGGCATTCCTGCTCCCTGACCCTTCCCTGCGTCCAGACCAACAACCACAGTGCTGTGGCTGGCAGGCCCCTCTCCCATGCCGCAGTCTAGCAGACAGCACAGCAGCTGAGCGCGCAGTAGGGGCTTGGTGCCCAGCTCATCACAGACACGCTGGACACCTGGGTCGGCGGAGACTGACAGACGCAGTAGTGGAAAACGGGACCGCCCTATCAGCTTGGCACTGCCCCCAGCCCTGTAAGCCTGAGGCCCTGGAGAGGCCTGCACCACTGTGAACCATCCTAGCCCACCTGCCTGTCTAAACCCATCATGTGCTCTATGCCCTGCACCAGCAATAGTGGAGCGCACTGCCAGGCTGGCCTGGGTGCCACAGGCGGTATACAGGTGCTGGTGTGGTCCCAGGGCAGACCTACTGCTCACCTGCTTGGAGGGCTGTAGTGGGACCTTCCTGGTTGCTCCATCACAGGCCGGCTCCAAGTCCTGCCCAGGGCTGCTGGCTTCCAGGGGCTGTCTGCTCACACTGGGCTCTGAGGATGGGCAGTTTTCTGTCTCCCGGGGCTTCTTGATGAGGCGACGCTCCCACTTCTCCTTCCGCTCATGCGGCTTCAGGGCCATGTCCTTCTGCAAGGAAAAAGTGAAGGCCATCAACAGGTGGAGACGCCCAGATAAAAGACGCCTGTCTTGAGAGGCCTGGCCCTTGTCTGATGCAGTGGCCTACTTGGGAGGTGGCGCTCAGCAGGCTCACAGCCCCCGGAAGGAGCCTTCATCCTGGGAAGGCACTGTCTTAGCAGCACTGACAGAGAAGGTGGCTGGTGAGGGGAAGGCCTGGGGATGGGGATAAGCCAGCTCCTCAGGAGCACAGCATAGGCCGAATCTCAGCCTCCAGCAGGGGCTTACACAGGCTGCGGCAGAAAGAAGGCATGAAGCTTTCCAGTCCCCACTAGAGGGGGGCTACTCTCAAAACATAACCTGGGGCCAGGGACTGCAGCAGTCTACCCACGTGATATCTGTACATCCACAGAAATCACCCCAAGTGACATCGCATTCCCACAGAAACCCCCCAGGTAACTTAATATTCCCAAGAACCAACCCACAGGTGAAACCTCATTATGACAGGGAGTAATTCCCAAGTGACACCTTCACATTCACTGGAAGTAACCCCCAGGTGATATACCTCATTCCCATAGGAAATAGCCCTCAGGTGACTCCTCACACCCCACAGAAAGTGCCCTCAAAATACCTCATCCTCCACGAAGTAGCCCTAAGTGACACCTTCATATCCCACAGCCATGCATTTGGGAGGGAAACCCTTGCCACAACTACTTGGGGCTATCAGACCTGAGCCACCCCACAAGCCACTTGTGATCCTGCTGTTTTTTCTTGGGACACCCTGTCAGCAGCCCACCTTGAGTATTCCAGGGTACCTGCTCATCTGAGTCCATAAAACACCCCCAGCCTCTTGCCTGCCTTTGAGTTCTGGCAGTTCCTGGCTCTGGGGTTCCCTGCTTCTGCATTCAATAACTAGTAGTTGGCCAGGCGTCGTGGTACACATCTGTAATCCCTACACTACAGGAGGCTGAGGCAGAAAGATCATAAGTTTGACCCCACTCTGTACAATTTAGGGAAACCTTGTCTTATAATGAACAAAAAAGGTGGGGGGGCATGGTTTAATGTGGGGGGAAAAAACCCCAAAAGACAAAGAATGAAAGAATGAAAGCACAGCAGTGCAACTGCAGGCACATGGCCAGAGCAGTAGACAGAGGTGCACGTGGTTTAGCCTCCATAGAGGGCAGCAGGGCAAGTCTGAGGAGGGACGGGTGGCCAAACAGGCTGCTTTGTGCTGTCCCCACCCTGACTGCACGGCTTCCACCTGTACCCATGGGCTGGGGTCTGCTGCCTCTGGTCTGATTAGGCAGGGCTTTTTCTACAACCAGCTCCCCCTGCCCTATATATGGTCAAGGCGCCTCACTACTAGGGGTCTTTTCCACCTGGCCCACCAGGGCAGACGTGGGATGGAGACACCTCTGCACAAGTGTGCCATGCTTCTGCTGAGAACAGAGCTACTTGTGAGGCATATGACCAAGTGTACATGAAGTCAGTGGTCAACACTCATGAACAGTGTCCTACAAGACCACCCTGCCTCACAGACCTGGCTGGGCCAGCTTGTCTTCCTTGTGTGCAGATGAGGGGAGCAGGCAGGTTATGCCCGGTTCTCACCACTACCCACACATGACTGAAAAGATGCATTGCTGGCAGTGTTGGGTCTCTTGTAAACCTGTTTTATTTTATTTTTCCCCCATAATTTTATTGATAAACAAATAGCAATGAGACAGTTTCAAATCAAATTGGTAGGACAGTTTCAATAATTAACACATTGAATACCTTCTTCCTAGTGGTTAATTGCTGTACAAGATGCGGACATGATATCCTAACACCATTAGAACAAATCCCTCTATTCCTTAAGAGAATGTAACTATATATCTATCCTAACCACTTTGAATACACAGATACAAAATAGACACTCATCTGTATAAACCTGTTTTAATACTCCATTACTTTTAAAGAAATGAACAGAGGCTGCTACCGTCCCTCCACCCATGCCCCTGACCGTAGACCCTTCTTGTAGGGTACCCTCAGTCCACCCCAACCTGCTCCAAGAAGAGCAGCTGCCAGGTCCCTGTCCTCAGGCTTTCTGGACCTTAGGTCCACTCCCAGCTCCCGCAGCAACACTGTCACAGCCCTCCAGGAGCACGGACTGCACCCAGTGCAGCCAGCTAGCCACCAGGAGGGTAGGTCCGAGGGGCTGCAGGCAACTCCACAGCCACCCTGTGGGGTGCACACTGAAGCTGAGAGAGGCTGCGAAGACCCTCTCCACCAGGGCTGGTGCCATCGGTGACCTTTCCTCTCATCCCCCTGAGCCAGCCATCTGCCCATATAGATGCCAGAGCTCTACAGGGTAGGGGCACTGACAACAGAGTGAAATGAGGCCCCCAGGTGGCAGCCTAGTGAGCAGTAAGCTCCGTGCTCACCACTAGCCCAGGCCTGCATTAGGAACTCTGCCAAATGCTCCACAGACGCCGCCCTTCCAGCCCCCACACGGCCCTCGGACCTGAGCTGTGACAGCTAAGGGCTGAGCACAGAAGCCCAAGAACAGACTGGCCTCAGCAGCAGTCTGAAGCCTTCATCCTCTGGTCCCATCCATCTCCCAGCCTGGCCCGGCAGCTCTCACCACCACCACCGCAGCAAGGAAGCCCAGAGCTAGGAGAGCCTGGGGGGGATGCAGCCATGGCTGTGGAAGCCTCTGCAGGGCCCAGGCCCCAGCCTCCCAGTGAGGCCTGCTCCCTAAGTGCAGAGACATGGGGCCAGGCACATGCTTCCATGAAACCGCCCATGGGCTTTTCCTACGGTATTTTTACGTGACTGCTTTTGAACTCTCCTAAACGTTATTGCTATGTAGCACTAATAAAATTCCTAACTGCTATAGTAAAGTAACCATGGAGAGGAAAGTGGTTATGATTTGGCAAATTTAATCCAAGTGCCCTTCCCAGGGCAAGGCTGCTGGTTCCCACTCTGGCCCAGCAGCTCAGCCCAGCCCTCTGGCTAGGCAGGTGCCTCCCACTTCCTGAGCCAAACAGGGCCTCCCCTCTGCTCTCCAAGCCCAAGACTGCACCCCTGAAGGGCAGGGTGGCTTGGGGCAGGTGACCTGCCCCATGTGACAACCACAGCACTTCCAGGGCTGGGCTTGGAGCCACACACTCTTTCTGGATGGGGAAGGAGGCCGCACAAAGGCTGCCAGTGTCCCTGTCTTGTGGCTCTCAGCGGACAGTACCTCTGTCATCTCTAGATTTCAAGCCTCAGTCTCTACCCTTCACAACCTGCAGCAGGGGACCCACAGCTCTCCTCAACAGTGCTTACTTGGCCCAACGATCCCTGAGTACCTCACAGTGAACTCCAAGGTCCACGTACAACTGTCCTGGAGCTTCAATGTGACCGACCCTACCCTGGCACCCACAAGCCTACACATTCATGTACTCTCTGGGAAATAGTCTGCCCCACCAAAGGGATCCTGCAGGCCACACCCCAACAGAGAGACCTGAGGGCCAACCCGAGGGGAGGGCAGCATCTGGGCAGCCTCAGAGATAAAAAGGCTGGACATGGTCTTCTCATGCACACCCACCCAGCAGCGCCCCCTTGTGGCCCTGCCAAGCACACTCACAACCAACTGGCTGCTTCATTTCTTCTGAGCACCCCCATCAGAGGCACATGAGGGATGTGTCCTCCCTCGCTGGACAGCCAACCCTCGCTGTCCCTGGAGCCTCTGGAGCATGCCTGGCTGCATCCCTAGGCCCCAAAGTCCTCCTGCTGGCCCAGGAGGGCTATGCAACTTCACCACCTACTATGTGCTGGCCTCAGACTTCCATGTGGGCCACATGCTGCCACTGTGCTGGCTCAGGAGTAGGGAACAGCACCAAGCTTCCTAGGTATGCAGTCAGCCCACCTGTCTAATCAGGCATCTCTACAAGCTGAAAAGACCTACACTGTGCCTGGCATTGTGTGGGCACAGGGGTCACGTGGAGACAAAGGTCACGTGGAGACAAAAGTGCACTCTGCAACTAGACAAGGGGCTGACACCAAAAGGCACTTTTCTTTTTTTATTTTTTTGCAGAACCAGGATTGAACTCAGGCCCTTGTGCTTGCCAGGGAAGCATTTATTCTACTGAGCCATCTCCCCAGGCACCAAAAGGCACTTTTGAAAGCATCAGTGTTGCCCTGGGAGGGAGGGCTACAGTAGGTGAGAGGAGAGGAGGGGGGTGATTGTGATGACTGTCTCCACAACACAGCCAGAGCCTAGCTGGTGTTTTAGCCTTCTAGCTCCCATCTACTGACCCATTAGTTGCAGGTCGGTCAGATGTAGCCGTCACCTTGCTCTTCAATGCCAGCACTGTCTTTCACCAAGGTTCCCCTGGGTGGCCATGGGACCAGGGCCAGACAGGACAGAGAGCCGGCCCAAAGCAGCAGTGTGCCAGGAAGGCAATGCAGCAGGCAGGATCCAGGCCCAGCCATGTGGGATGCCTTGGGGCTGGGCTGCGGCTCATCAGGCGGCACCTTACAGCCCACTGTGGCTACTCTAACGTGGATGTAGGCTCTGTGTGTCTGTGTACGTGAGTGCTTCCACAGTTAAAAAGGAGAAAGAGACAAGGGCACTAGATTTAGGCGAAAGTCACAGCTGGAAGCCAGGTGGAGTCCAGCCAGGTGAGGCTGTCATGGAGGGCAGAAGTGGGATCTGCAGACTGTGCCAACTGATACCAAGTGGTAAGCAGAGAGAAGAGACTGTGGGGCCAGACCTCCAGGAGAGGCCCAGCCCCCTGCACATGACCAAGGCTAGCTCTAAGGAACCAGGACAGCAGGCAAATGGGCCCCTCAATTACCTCCTATGAGATCAGTGCGGTGCGAGATAGTCCCTCTGCCCTGACAGGGATGGGCCAGTGATCCCATCTGTCCCTGAGCCTGAGGACTCTACGTGGGAGGAAGGCTTAGGGTTGATTTCTGTCCCTCCCCAGAACAGCTGCTGCTCAGCTGTCACCAAGGGTGGGCAACCCCACCTGCCAAAGCCAGTCACG